TGATTGTACCTTTTTTTCAACCGCAAACGTGAAGTAGGCGAGCTCGAAGATCCCCTTGTTACTAAGAACAAGGGATAGAGCAAATGAGTCTCTTAAGGGCATATTTAAAGAGCGTGCGGCTATGGTGGAAGCAATGAATTTTGTGGCATTCACAAAAAGAATAAAGGAAATAGCCTCATAAAGTTGACCCTCCATTCGTATAAGATTTCCACACTCTTTGAGCAACCATGAGAGATCTACTTGCGTCATGCTTAATGATCCAAAGAGTGGCACGAGAGCTCCAAGATTAAAACTCTCAAATTTTTGAACCAAAGTAGCACCTAAAGGATATCCGTCCGGAATAGTTAAGCCAAGAACAAACGATCCTGCGGGTCCAAACAAATGAATCTTGTGGAAAAATTGGAAGGACAAGAAAGCGAGCGCCAAAATAATGTAGATGTAAACATTCTTGACCGGCCTTCCTTCTGGAGTTTGCTTGATCACCCAATACACAGCCGGCCTCACAGCGTAGACCAAAAAAGCACAAAAGAAGCAGAAACATACGGTTTGGAAAACACCGTAAGATCCTTGCCAACGAATGGCATTCAAAAACGTTACCACAAAGGCCAACATGTCAGTCACCATGGCCCCGGAAAGGGCTATCCTTCCAAACTCAGAGTGTTTGATGTTGAGGTCTTTTAGGAGTGTGTCGATGCTTGTGAACGCAGATATGCTTTGGAAGAATATGATCAACCTGTATTCCATTGGTAACAAGCTTATATTCCCTCTTTGTATTCTCCATTTGAACAAGAAGTTGCCACAAATCAAGGGTACAACCATTGTGGTGAGCCCGATCACACTAGATTTTTTCTCCATCCTCAGTCCCATTCCGGGATCCATGGTCACACCTTTTAGGAACCAATAAAAAAGGAAACCGAAAGCGCCTAGAGTCTCGGGGATCTTTGGTCGCTTATCATAAGGGAAAAATATGTCACGGAGCCAAGAGTTGTTGCCTAAATGACAAGTTAGGTCTAAGATTACCCCTGCCTTCAACAACAAGACATATATTACATTTAGACATGCATCGTAAATCATTTAAATAGAAAAAGCATTGGGAGGGAGATTAAGAAGAAACTCACGATCATCATATAGGTGAATCTAGGTACTCGAAGACCGATTTTGTTGCATGACCAATCAAGGAACCGCCATATAATATAAGTAGAAAACATTATGATCTCGAGATTCGGGAGCGGATATTTCCAGAAACTCATACCTCGTGACTTGTAAGTCAATCTCTCCCATATCCCATACGAGTTTAACATGTAAGGATGTGCCTCGCATATGCGAGAGGCGTTCTTGTCTTCTATGTAGCCTCGCCATGCCACATCCAAATAATTCATGTGTAAACTTTGATTCATTTAATTAGGGAAATAAGCATTAGCGAAGAGAAGCTATGGGATCAAGGTATAATGGAATGTGTTAGGGTTTGTACTTCCATTTCGGGAAGAAGAAGACTTGGAAAGGAATTTGTTACAAAGATTTTGACTTAGGATAATAACTAAACTTGCAATAACCAGCAAAGAAAAGATATGCATTGATCTCAAGTACACGTTTTTGTTTTCTTTTTATAGCACTATTACTCTCCATCCCTTGTCAAGATTAACACGTATGATTTTACATCGTTTATTACAACTAATCAACGTTAAAGCTACGACTCTATATTTTTAGAGAACTTTGCACCCACTTTTCTCAGATAATATTTGTGCTTTTAAACGGTCTTCAAGTTTTGGTGAAATAGGCACTTTTTACTTAATTTTGATACCCTTCATGACAGTGTGACTCTCTGTGGGGGGAAGTCAAAAATGAAAGACCAATTTGAGTATATAGCATTTTCTAGGTTTCTATATGCATTTTGACATTTTTAAGAGTGCAGATAGCTAGCACTTTTAAAGATAAAGTTACCGTTCTAATCATTATATGGTTGTATAAGTACATTGTGAAAATTGATAACATTTGGGATGTGTACGAACAATATGGCTGAGAAATATGTGATTCTTTACCTACATTATAAAAATTGGATCATGATATGTGGGTTTGTACATTCGTTATGAAATTTACTATAAAGGGGTAAAATTTCAGTTTTTCTAAAGGAATTTTTTGTAAATAATATAAAAAGCGCCATTTGGACAAAGAAGCAAAAAAAAAAAAAAATTGTATAATCACTAACAAATTCTGAAAAAATGTTAGTATGTAGACCTGTCCACTCGAATAGGACTTTTATCCTGATGTCGCTTATTTTTGGGGATACAAATGAGTCATGTGTGAGAAGTGTATGTATATTCTATTTTTGTATCTTATAAATTTCTCCGTTCTAAACGGACGAACGAACAATGAGGGGAGAGTGGTGGTGCCCATAAGCACATGGTGGCCTAAGATGGCTGGTGGTATTAAGTTGTAATTGAACCGGCGGGTACATTTTACAAATAATTAAGAAAAGTATAGTCTATATATTTTGATATTTCAGAAGGTGATCAAAATCTTGAAGTTATTATACTCATAAGAAAACTAGAATCATTGACCTCCATTTTCTTTTACTCATTAATTTCATGCGTCCTAAACTAATCTCTCATGTAAAGAAACATAAAAATCAAACAGATGAGCACATATCTCACATATTACTTTATTTTTTGGCTTTGCGTTTTGTGAATGTACTCTTGTTTTTGTACAACCAGCACTGATGCTCTAGAAGGATATTCATGTGATGCTAAGAAATCTCCTATGGGTCCCAATTCATGGAACTCTGTCCATTCACTAATACCACTAGTAACCTCAGTACCTATTCCGCTGCTTTGTCCGATGATAAACAATTCATAATCCTTTGCCATTGCTTGTAAGATTTTGGATGTCTCGGATCCA